AAATTCTTTTAAAACAGTGATCAAAATTTCAACAAAACTTGTCATGATTTGGAGCTCATTAGCTATTTAGGAGTGGCTCCCCAAATGCAAACACTTGGTCCAGAAAATTAAGGGTACAAAGTGAGTGGGAAGGTGGGAGGTGAGAATCAGGGCCAGGAATCAGAGATGAAAAGATTACATCTCCCAAATCCAGGAAGATTTCGTTGCTGTTGTTCAGTCATGTCTGACTCTTTGTGACCCCATTTGGGGTTTTCTTGGCAAAGCTACTGGAGTGGTTTTGCCATATCTTTCTCCAGCTCATTTTACAGATGAGGAAACTGAGGGAAACAGAGTTAAGTGACTTCCCCAGGGTTGTACTGCTAGTAAGTGTCTGAGGCCAGATTTGAACTCAAGGAGATGAAGCTTCCTGATGTCAGGCCCAGCACTCTGTCTGTGCCACCTAGCTGCCCAGGAAGCCATTTGTCCCTAAATCTAGTTATTATATGTTGTGAGGTAAAATTAGGAAATTGGGCATTGATTGGGAGGAAATTGATTGGGAGTTGGGGGGCAAGCAGGTTGGTGAGGATTTGCTGTTGCCAGCGTTTGATTTTAATCTGTGGCTATGGAATCATTCAGTGTCATTGATGAGGTCACAGCATTCTGAAGGGTCCCCCGTGATCATTTGGATCATAACAGCCCCACAGAGAAGTGGAGTGAGCTCTGAGGGTTGCTGTCTGGTACATCCTTTTGGCTTTGTCTCTTAGGTATTTTGATATTTTGAGTAACTATAGTTGGGAATAGGACCACTCCTTCTACCAGATTTCTTGAAGAACTAAGACTCTGTATACTACTGAGATCTGTGGGCTTTTAGGGGCCTTCTCCTACTCAGCATCTGAAACTATGAAGCGTAGATATGAAGACAGGTCATCAAGTGTCAAAAGGACTGAGCAAGGAACCCAGGAAGCAGAAGGTAAGATGGAAAAGCTAGGAACAGAGAGATGAACTCAGTTAATTCATTTCCTAGAAAGCTCAATCTAGAAAATATGGTGGGGGTGGAGGGAGGAAATTCATGGTGTGAGATAAGAAAGATGGGGCAGATAAGGTAAAGATCAGAGTTACATTATGGTTATAGCTACTATTGGCACTTTATGGAATGTTTACCAGGTGGATGGAAATTTAATTTTAAGCTGAAACAGAGCCAGAAATGCACATATTTGTTTCTTTTCCACTACCTTGTCTGTTTCCTCATTTGAGGCACTGACTGACCAGCAGGGAAATATTGAGTGGAATTATGGAAGGGCAAGAGACAAATTGAGACTCTTTGGGCATGGGGTAGTTAGTGAGTATTGAAAGGAAGGGGTCTCTGCTGAAAGCAAGGAAGGCTAAGAATAGTTTGTCCAGGGCCCATGGTTGAGGAATAACTGTTTGGATTGAAAGTTAAAAAATGGATTTATAAGGCTGCGAGTGAGGTTGTTGGAGGTTGGAGAGGGATAGAATGGTGGAGAGCCCCAGAACTCCAGAAAGAATCTCTAACCCCAGGGACAAAAGAAAACACAGCTAAAGATGGCTACATCTGGGGAAGTTTTCAGTGGGAGAAGCAGGGTAGTGAGTGAGCTAGTCAGATAGATAGTCTTCTTATGGACCAACTCTGGGGTGGGAAGCTGGGGCAAGAGTGGAAGAGGAGATCAGTGCTCCTCCTCCCCAACAATTGTTCATAGCCTCCAGGAAAGAATTGGTTCAGAAAAACAAAGGTGAAAGATTGTTCATTTAATTCCCCAGGGCATGTGAAAGGAGAATCTTCAGTAAGGCCTCAGCCCAGTAAGGTGATCAAGGCTAAGGACCAGCCAGAAAATGAGAATTCTTCTATCTACTATTCATTTACCTCTTCTTTCTGTTGTTCTGCCTCACTATCCAAAACTGATAATAAAGGGTGCCTCTACTACATCCAGGTGAAAACCATAAAAGGAGTGGCTGTTGCGTGGGGGACTGAGACTGGAATGAAAGCAATCCAGAGGCACCTCGAATTTATGAGTTGAACCCTTCTGAAGAGAACATACTAGAGTCTCCTCACCAAAGCTTACCCAGCAAAGTTCTCACTGCTGTGGAAAAAGGTGTGGATGAGATGAGTGAAGAATATAAAGGAGAAGAAGTACCAGGACCTTCAAGGCTTATTGATGAAAGAAGACGGAGAAAGATCCCTGATTGGATGGTCACAACAGACAATGGTTATCGTTGTGTGGCCTGCTGCCGGGTATTCCTCACCCTGGAGGCCCTCAGGAAACATGCTAAATCCGGGCCCAATGAGGGATTTAGTTGCCATGTTTTTAATAGGAAAGTCCATGAAAGACAAAGAACCCAGAAAATTTTGCTCCTAGGCAAAGATAGACACTTAACCCAAAACCCCAAAGAACAAAGTAAGCTACATGAAGGAAAAGGCCGATGTGCACACACCTCCCATGGTACTCAGAGCATAGATTTGCACCATGACAAGGATGCAGAATGAGCTGGGGGTGACTCAGTGATGGGGACTCTGGTTCTTCTGTCAAAATACCCTACTCCAGTCACCCCATTTTCATTCCCAAGCCAACAACTCTTTGAAATCCCCACAGGTCCAAGAGAACACCAGCTATCGCAACTCCAGCTCTCATTAAAAGGAGGTTAAAAAGTCACGAACAAGAAAGAAGACAAATCCAGGAGCAGGACCAATGAGAATGGACTCTACAACCATCAAGCCTCCTTAAGGACAGGAATGTCTCATTTTTGTATTGACTGATTGATCTCCATAGTAGAATGGAAAACAGGAGAGAGAAAGTTCATAGTCTTTATAATGAGGAAATGGTGAGTGTGCCCATATTTGGTCCAGACTTGTGATTTCATGCTAGAGGGAGTTTCAGGTGAGAAAATTCCTTCTTCTAATACAAATAGCAGCCATGCTCTGGTTTCTGGTTTTTTGGTTGTTGTTGTTTTTTTTTTTAATTTTTCCTGGGATGCAGAGAAGCTTGGATCATACAGTTAGTATGTATCGTGAGATCGAATGTGGACCTAGGTCATCCTGACTCCTAGGCTGCTCCTCCATCCACTTGCCACAGTGCTTCTGAGCACCAAAGTATTATACCAGAGTTCTCCATATCCACACCTGTTTCTGATTTCTACATAACAGAGGATGAGCAATATTTGCTTCCACTGGAAGGAAGACCAAATTCTGCATCCCAGAGAAAGTCAGTAAAACGTTGCTGTTGGTCTGTTAAGATTTAGCTAGATCCTTGTGCTCTGAGTTCTTAAAGCTCTGAGGATTCAACCATGAGACAGGCAGGGTGGCACCTTATAGAGGGTACTGATCTTAGAATCAGAAGCTTTGGGTTCAAATCCTGGTTCTGAACTTCCTAGTTATGTCACCCTAGGTGAGTCACTTAATCCATCCTCAATTTTCTCGTTTGCAGATTGGGGCTAATGATAATAGCTTATGATTAAATAGTATGTTAAGGTTTATAAAGCACTTTAAAAAATACAATTGCATTATCAGCCCATTGAAATTATATATTACTATTTTAAAGTGTTGAGTTAGCAAAAGGCCCCCAGCACATTGGGTAGAGCTCTTGGGCAGGGCAGGGAGGTAGGGATTCACTGGAGGATATGGCCCACAGCTACACAGGATGAGAAGAAGTTAGGGATAGGTTAAGACATGTGCTGTAGAGTACACACACACACTGATGAGATCACAGAGCCTTCAAAACATTAGATCATCTTTGTGCAACTCACCTTGCAGGCTTGTTGTGAGAAAAGTGCTTGGGAAAAGTGTCATTATTTTTACATTCAGGTTTGACTCAACAGAGTTTCTTAACCTTTATGTATGTCATTGACTCCTCTGACAGTCTGGTAAAGTCTATGGACCCCTTCTGAGAATAATATTGTTAAACGTATAAAGTACAAATCAATGCGCCTTGAAAGGATGTGTCAGTCAGTTAGCTCCTTAGCATGGCCATTCATGGGTAGATTTCTAGGTCATTTCCCAAACCAAAACTCTCCTCCCTACCCTAAACACTCTTCTATATGTGTTTTCTACTCCATTAGGAGGCAAGCTGCTTGAGGACAGGGACTAGCTCCTTTTTGTAATTATGTCATTCACAGGGCTTTGTACGGTCTATTACATGGTAAGCACTTAATAAAAGACGTTTTCACTTATTCACTGATTTCATGCATTTGTTCACTTTTTGTTGCTTCTTTAGATCAGTAGAAGCTCTCACCATTTGGAGACAAAAATAAGACACCCTAGCCAAGAGCAGAAGAGCAGATTGCAGCAGATGTCCTCCTTAAGGTTGGAACTTTGTGATCACAGGGAATCATAACCTAACTTGGTTCATACATAGTTGATAGCCTTGATAATTTACAAGGGTTAGAGACTAGTTGTTGTTGTTCAGTCATTTCAGGTGTGTCTGACTCTTCATGGCCCCATTTTGGAGTTTTCTTGGCAGAGATACTGGAATGGTTTGCCATTTCTTTCCTCCAGCTCATATTTTACAGTTGAGGAAACTGAGGAAAACATGGTTAAGTGACTTCCCCAGGGTTGTACTGCTAGTAAGTGTCTGAGGCCAGATTTGAACTCAAGGAGATGAGGCTTCCTGATGTCAGGCCCAGCACTCTGTCTGTGCCACCTAGCTGCCCAGGAAGCCATTTGTCCCTAAATCTAGTTATTATATGTTGTGAGGTAAAATTAGGAAATTGGGCATTGATTGGGAGGAAATTGATTGGGAGTTGGGGGGCAAGCAGGTTGGTGAGGATTTGCTGTTGCCAGCGTTTGATTTTAATCTGTGGCTATGGAATCATTCAGTGTCATTGATGAGGTCACAGCATTCTGAAGGGTCCCCCGTGATCATTTGGATCATAACAGCCCCACAGAGAAGTGGAGTGAGCTCTGAGGGTTGCTGTCTGGTACATCCTTTTGGCTTTGTCTCTTAGGTATTTTGATATTTTGAGTGACTATAGTTGGGAATAGGACCACTCCTTCTACCAGATTTCTTGAAGAACTAAGACTCTGTATACTACTGAGATCTGTGGGCTTTTAGGGGCCTTCTCCTACTCAGCATCTGAAACTATGAAGCGTAGATATGAAGACAGGTCATCAAGTGTCAAAAGGACTGAGCAAGGAACCCAGGAAGCAGAAGGTAAGATGGAAAAGCTAGGAACAGAGAGATGAACTCAGTTAATTCATTTCCTAGAAAGCTCAATCTAGAAAATATGGTGGGGGTGGAGGGAGGAAATTCATGGTGTGAGATAAGAAAGATGGGCAGATAAGGTAAAGATCAGAGTTACATTATGGTTATAGCTACTATTGGCACTTTATGGGAATGTTTACCAGGTGGATGGAAATTTAATTTTAAGCTGAAACAGAGACAGAAATGCACATATTTTGTTTCTTTTCCACTACCTTGTCTGTTTCCTCATTTGAGGCACTGACTGACCAGCAGGGAAATATTGAGTGGAATTATGGAAGGGCAAGAGACAAATTGAGACTCTTTGGGCATGGGTAGTTAGTGAGTATTGAAAGGAAGGGGTCTCTGCTGAAAGCAAGGAAGGCTAAGAATAGTTTGTCCAGGGCCCATGGTTGAGGAATAACTGTTTGGATTGAAAGTTAAAAAATGGATTTATAAGGCTGCGAGTGAGGTTGTTGGAGGTTGGAGAGGGATAGAATGGTGGAGAGCCCCAGAACTCCAGAAAGAATCTCTAACCCCAGGGACAAAAGAAAACACAGCTAAAGATGGCTACATCTGGGGAAGTTTTCAGTGGGAGAAGCAGGGTAGTGAGTGAGCTAGTCAGATAGATAGTCTTCTTATGGACCAACTCTGGGGTGGGAAGCTGGGGCAAGAGTGGAAGAGGAGATCAGTGCTCCTCCTCCCCAACAATTGTTCATAGCCTCCAGGAAAGAATTGGTTCAGAAAAACAAAGGTGAAAGATTGTTCATTTAATTCCCCAGGGCATGTGAAAGGAGAATCTTCAGTAAGGCCTCAGCCCAGTAAGGTGATCAAGGCTAAGGACCAGCCAGAAAATGAGAATTCTTCTATCTACTATTCATTTACCTCTTCTTTCTGTTGTTCTGCCTCACTATCCAAAACTGATAATAAAGGGTGCCTCTACTACATCCAGGTGAAAACCATAAAAGGAGTGGCTGTTGCATGGGGGACTGAGACTGGAATGAAGGCAATCCAGAGGGCACCTCGAATTTATGAGTTGAACCCTTCTGAAGAGAACATACTAGAGTCTCCTCACCAAAGCTTACCCAGCAAAGTTCTCACTGCTGTGGAAAAAGGTGTGGATGAGATGAGTGAAGAATATAAAGGAGAAGAAGTACCAGGACCTTCAAGGCTTATTGATGAAAGAAGACGGAGAAAGATCCCTGATTGGATGGTCACAACAGACAATGGTTATCGTTGTGTGGCCTGCTGCCGGGTATTCCTCACCCTGGAGGCCCTCAGGAAACATGCTAAATCCGGGCCCAATGAGGGATTTAGTTGCCATGTTTTTAATAGGAAAGTCCATGAAAGACAAAGAACCCAGAAAATTTTGCTCCTAGGCAAAGATAGACACTTAACCCAAAACCCCAAAGAACAAAGTAAGCTACATGAAGGAAAAGGCCGATGTGCACACACCTCCCATGGTACTCAGAGCATAGATTTGCACCATGACAAGGATGCAGAATGAGCTGGGGGTGACTCAGTGATGGGGACTCTGGTTCTTCTGTCAAAATACCCTACTCCAGTCACCCCATTTTCATTCCCAAGCCAACAACTCTTTGAAATCCCCACAGGTCCAAGAGAACACCAGCTATCGCAACTCCAGCTCTCATTAAAAGGAGGTTAAAAAGTCACGAACAAGAAAGAAGACAAATCCAGGAGCAGGACCAATGAGAATGGACTCTACAACCATCAAGCCTCCTTAAGGACAGGATTGTCTCATTTTTGTATTGACTGATTGATCTCCATAGTAGAATGGAAAAACAGGAGAGAGAAAGTTCATAGTCTTTATAATGAGGAAATTGGTGAGTGTGCCCATATTTGGTCCAGACTTGTGATTTCATGCTAGAGGGAGTTTCAGGTGAAAATTCCTTCTTCTAATACAAATAGCAGCCATGCTCTGGTTTCTGGTTTTTTGGTTGTTGTTGTTTTTTTTTTTAATTTTTCCTGGGATGCAGAGAAGCTTGGATCATACAGTTAGTATGTATCGTAGATCGAATGTGGACCTAGGTCATCCTGACTCCTAGGCTGCTCTCCATCCACTTGCCAAGTGCTTCTGAGCACCAAAGTATATACCAGAGTTCTCCATATCCACACACCTGTTTCTGATTTCTACATAACAGAGGATGAGCAATATTTGCCTCCACTGGAAGGAAGACCAAATTCTGCATCCCAGAGAAAGTCAGTAAAACGTTGCTGTTGGTCTGTTAAGATTTAGCTAGATCCTTGTGCTCTGAGTTCTTAAAGCTCTGAGGATTCAACCATGAGACAGGCAGGGTGGCACCTTATAGAGGGTACTGATCTTAGAATCAGAAGCTTTGGGTTCAAATCCTGCTTCTGAACTTCCTAGTTATGTCACCCTAGGTGAGTCACTTAATCCATCCTCAATTTTTCTCGTTTGCAGATTGGGCTAATATAATAGCTTATGATTAAATAGTATGTTAAGGTTTATAAAGCACTTTAAAAAATACAATTGCATTATCAGCCCATTGAAATTATATATTACTATTTTAAAGTGTTGAGTTAGCAAAAGCCCCAGCACATTGGGTAGAGCTCTTGGCAGGCAGGGAGTAGGGATTCACTGGAGGATATGGCCCACAGCTACACAGGATGAGAAGAAGTTAGGGATAGGTTAAGACATGTGCTGTAGAGTACACACCCACACTGATGAGATCACAGAGCCTTCAAAACATTAGATCATCTTTGTGCAACTCACCTTGCAGGCTTGTTGTGAGAAAAGTGCTTGGGAAAAGTGTCATTATTTTTACATTCAGGTTTGACTCAACAGAGTTTTCTTAACCTTTATGTATGTCATTGACTCCTCTGACAGTCTGGTAAAGTCTATGGACCCCTTCTGAGAATAATATTGTTAAACGTATAAAGTACAAATCAATGCGCCTTGAAAGGATGTGTCAGTCAGTTAGCTCCTTAGCATGGCCATTCATGGGTAGATTTCTAGGTCATTTCCCAAACCAAAACTCTCCTCCCTACCCTAAACACTCTTCTATATGTGTTTTCTACTCCATTAGGAGGCAAGCTGCTTGAGGACAGGGACTAGCTCCTTTTTGTAATTATGTCATTCACAGGGCTTTGTACGGTGTCTATTACATGGTAAGCACTTAATAAAAGACGTTTTCACTTATTCACTGATTTCATGCATTTGTTCACTTTTTGTTGCTTCTTTAGATCAGTAGAAGCTCTCACCATTTGGAGACAAAAATAAGACACCCTAGCCAAGAGCAGAAGAGCAGATTGCAGCAGATGTCCTCCTTAAGGTTGGAACTTTGTGATCACAGGAATCATAACCTAACTTGGTTCATACATAGTTGATAGCCTTGATAATTTACAAGGGTTAGAGACTAGTTGTTGTTGTTCAGTCATTTCAGGTGTGTCTGACTCTTCATGGCCCCATTTTGGAGTTTTCTTGGCAGAGATACTGGAATGGTTTGCCATTTCTTTCCTCCAGCTCATATTTTACAGTTGAGGAAACTGAGGAAAACATGGTTAAGTGACTTCCCCAGGGTTGTACTGCTAGTAAGTGTCTGAGGCCAGATTTGAACTCAAGGAGATGAGGCTTCCTGATGTCAGGCCCAGCACTCTGTCTGTGCCACCTAGCTGCCCAGGAAGCCATTTGTCCCTAAATCTAGTTATTATATGTTGTGAGGTAAAATTAGGAAATTGGGCATTGATTGGGAGGAAATTGATTGGGAGTTGGGGGGCAAGCAGGTTGGTGAGGATTTGCTGTTGCCAGCGTTTGATTTTAATCTGTGGCTATGGAATCATTCAGTGTCATTGATGAGGTCACAGCATTCTGAAGGGTCCCCCGTGATCATTTGGATCATAACAGCCCCACAGAGAAGTGGAGTGAGCTCTGAGGGTTGCTGTCTGGTACATCCTTTTGGCTTTGTCTCTTAGGTATTTTGATATTTTGAGTGACTATAGTTGGGAATAGGACCACTCCTTCTACCAGATTTCTTGAAGAACTAAGACTCTGTATACTACTGAGATCTGTGGGCTTTTAGGGGCCTTCTCCTACTCAGCATCTGAAACTATGAAGCGTAGATATGAAGACAGGTCATCAAGTGTCAAAAGGACTGAGCAAGGAACCCAGGAAGCAGAAGGTAAGATGGAAAAGCTAGGAACAGAGAGATGAACTCAGTTAATTCATTTCCTAGAAAGCTCAATCTAGAAAATATGGTGGGGGTGGAGGGAGGAAATTCATGGTGTGAGATAAGAAAGATGGGGCAGATAAGGTAAAGATCAGAGTTACATTATGGTTATAGCTACTATTGGCACTTTATGGGAATGTTTACCAGGTGGATGGAAATTTAATTTTAAGCTGAAACAGAGACAGAAATGCACATATTTTGTTTCTTTTCCACTACCTTGTCTGTTTCCTCATTTGAGGCACTGACTGACCAGCAGGGAAATATTGAGTGGAATTATGGAAGGGCAAGAGACAAATTGAGACTCTTTGGGCATGGGGTAGTTAGTGAGTATTGAAAGGAAGGGGTCTCTGCTGAAAGCAAGGAAGGCTAAGAATAGTTTGTCCAGGGCCCATGGTTGAGGAATAACTGTTTGGATTGAAAGTTAAAAAATGGATTTATAAGGCTGCGAGTGAGGTTGTTGGAGGTTGGAGAGGGATAGAATGGTGGAGAGCCCCAGAACTCCAGAAAGAATCTCTAACCCCAGGGACAAAAGAAAACACAGCTAAAGATGGCTACATCTGGGGAAGTTTTCAGTGGGAGAAGCAGGGTAGTGAGTGAGCTAGTCAGATAGATAGTCTTCTTATGGACCAACTCTGGGGTGGGAAGCTGGGGCAAGAGTGGAAGAGGAGATCAGTGCTCCTCCTCCCCAACAATTGTTCATAGCCTCCAGGAAAGAATTGGTTCAGAAAAACAAAGGTGAAAGATTGTTCATTTAATTCCCCAGGGCATGTGAAAGGAGAATCTTCAGTAAGGCCTCAGCCCAGTAAGGTGATCAAGGCTAAGGACCAGCCAGAAAATGAGAATTCTTCTATCTACTATTCATTTACCTCTTCTTTCTGTTGTTCTGCCTCACTATCCAAAACTGATAATAAAGGGTGCCTCTACTACATCCAGGTGAAAACCATAAAAGGAGTGGCTGTTGCATGGGGGACTGAGACTGGAATGAAGGCAATCCAGAGGGCACCTCGAATTTATGAGTTGAACCCTTCTGAAGAGAACATACTAGAGTCTCCTCACCAAAGCTTACCCAGCAAAGTTCTCACTGCTGTGGAAAAAGGTGTGGATGAGATGAGTGAAGAATATAAAGGAGAAGAAGTACCAGGACCTTCAAGGCTTATTGATGAAAGAAGACGGAGAAAGATCCCTGATTGGATGGTCACAACAGACAATGGTTATCGTTGTGTGGCCTGCTGCCGGGTATTCCTCACCCTGGAGGCCCTCAGGAAACATGCTAAATCCGGGCCCAATGAGGGATTTAGTTGCCATGTTTTTAATAGGAAAGTCCATGAAAGACAAAGAACCCAGAAAATTTTGCTCCTAGGCAAAGATAGACACTTAACCCAAAACCCCAAAGAACAAAGTAAGCTACATGAAGGAAAAGGCCGATGTGCACACACCTCCCATGGTACTCAGAGCATAGATTTGCACCATGACAAGGATGCAGAATGAGCTGGGGGTGACTCAGTGATGGGGACTCTGGTTCTTCTGTCAAATTACCCTACTCCAGTCACCCCATTTTCATTCCCAAGCCAACAACTCTTTGAAATCCCCACAGGTCCAAGAGAACACCAGCTATCGCAACTCCAGCTCTCATTAAAGGAGGTTAAAAAGTCAGAACAAGAAAGAAGACAAATCCAGGAGCAGGACCAATGAGAATGGACTCTACAACCATCAAGCCTCCTTAAGGACAGGAATGTCTCATTTTTGTATTGACTGATTGATCTCCATAGTAGAATGGAAAACAGGAGAGAGAAAGTTCATAGTCTTTATAATGAGGAAATGGTGAGTGTGCCCATATTTGGTCCAGACTTGTGATTTCATGCTAGAGGGAGTTTCAGGTGAGAAAATTCCTTCTTCTAATACAAATAGCAGCCATGCTCTGGTTTCTGGTTTTTTGGTTGTTGTTGTTGTTTTTTTTTTTTAATTTTTCCTGGGATGCAGAGAAGCTTGGATCATACAGTTAGTATGTATCGTGAGATCGAATGTGGACCTAGGTCATCCTGACTCCTAGGCTGCTCCTCCATCCACTTGCCACAGTGCTTCTGAGCACCAAAGTATTATACCAGAGTTCTCCATATCCACACACCTGTTTCTGATTTCTACATAACAGAGGATGAGCAATATTTGCCTCCACTGGAAGGAAGACCAAATTCTGCATCCCAGAGAAAGTCAGTAAAACGTTGCTGTTGGTCTGTTAAGATTTAGCTAGATCCTTGTGCTCTGAGTTCTTAAAGCTCTGAGGATTCAACCATGAGACAGGCAGGGTGGCACCTTATAGAGGGTACTGATCTTAGAATCAGAAGCTTTGGGTTCAAATCCTGCTTCTGAACTTCCTAGTTATGTCACCCTAGGTGAGTCACTTAATCCATCCTCAATTTTCTCGTTTGCAGATTGGGGCTAATGATAATAGCTTATGATTAAATAGTATGTTAAGGTTTATAAAGCACTTTAAAAAATACAATTGCATTATCAGCCCATTGAAATTATATATTACTATTTTAAAGTGTTGAGTTAGCAAAAGGCCCCCAGCACATTGGGTAGAGCTCTTGGGCAGGGCAGGGAGGTAGGGATTCACTGGAGGATATGGCCCACAGCTACACAGGATGAGAAGAAGTTAGGGATAGGTTAAGACATGTGCTGTAGAGTACACACACACACTGATGAGATCACAGAGCCTTCAAAACATTAGATCATCTTTGTGCAACTCACCTTGCAGGCTTGTTGTGAGAAAAGTGCTTGGGAAAAGTGTCATTATTTTTACATTCAGGTTTGACTCAACAGAGTTTCTTAACCTTTATGTATGTCATTGACTCCTCTGACAGTCTGGTAAAGTCTATGGACCCCTTCTGAGAATAATATTGTTAAACGTATAAAGTACAAATCATGCGCCTTGAAAGGATGTGTCAGTCAGTTAGCTCCTTAGCATGGCCATTCATGGGTAGATTTCTAGGTCATTTCCCAAACCAAAACTCTCCTCCCTACCCTAAACACTCTTCTATATGTGTTTTCTACTCCATTAGGAGGCAAGCTGCTTGAGGACAGGGACTAGCTCCTTTTTGTAATTATGTCATTCACAGGGCTTTGTACAGTGTCTATTACATGGTAAGCACTTAATAAAAGACGTTTTCACTTATTCACTGATTTCATGCATTTGTTCACTTTTTGTTGCTTCTTTAGATCAGTAGAAGCTCTCACCATTTGGAGACAAAAATAAGACACCCTAGCCAAGAGCAGAAGAGCAGATTGCAGCAGATGTCCTCCTTAAGGTTGGAACTTTGTGATCACAGGGAATCATAACCTAACTTGGTTCATACATAGTTGATAGCCTTGATAATTTACAAGGGTTAGAGACTAGTTGTTGTTGTTCAGTCATTTCAGGTGTGTCTGACTCTTCATGGCCCCATTTTGGAGTTTTCTTGGCAGAGATACTGGAATGGTTTGCCATTTCTTTCCTCCAGCTCATATTTTACGGTTGAGGAAACTGAGGAAAACATGGTTAAGTGACTTGCCCAGGGTCACACAGCTAGTAATCGTCTGAGGCCAGCTTTGAACTCAGGAAGATGAGCTTTCCTGACTTCAGGACTGGCATTCTATCCACTGAGCCACCTTGATGCACCTAGAAGACTAGCATCAGTTTCCAACTCTCATTTGCCCTTTTCGCAACCCAATTCAAGTCTCTTCTTTCTTCTGAAGATTTTCCTGATCTTTCCAGTTCCCTGTGAAGCCTGCGCTGAGACTGTATTCTCAAGCAGTGATGAATCTGGCCAAGTAGGACTGTTGATACATGGACAGTCCTATTCTGGCAAGAAACTAGAGACAACATGTTCTTTCAGCACTTACATGTGTCTCAGGCAATGTGAGGAATACACTTGAGTCAGTCCTACAACAGGGAGGGCATTCATGGAAGTGGAAGAAGCCAGAAAAACTGGGTTCTAGTCCTGACTAACGTTTATCACTTAATTTCCCTGAGTTTCCATTTTCTCCTCTATTAAATGACAATAGCTACAATAACAACATACTGCTTTTCCGACAACATTGTTGTAAGGAAAGTGTTCTGTAAGCCTTAAGGAGCTGTGTAAATGTGAGTTGTTTTTATGAAAGTATTTTCTGATACATCTCAGAAATTTATAACATCCCAAATAACAATTCCTGTTTCTGGATTTACATTAACAGGTAAACAAAATGAAGATTTCTATACAGATGAAATAGAGCAAAAGAAAAAGAAAAGAGTTGGTAGGAGAGAAGAACCTATAACTCTTAAAGAAAATGTGAGACTGACACTCCCCTGCTCAAAAACCTTTAATGGCTCCCCACTGTCAACAGGGTAAATAAAGCTCCTTAAGGCTTTCCCTCTATTCTATGTCCTCACTCTGTCTTTCTTGTCATGTCCTTGTACTCCCCTCCATAAATGCCTTCCTCTCCAGGAAAAAAAAAAAATTGTTCTTTTGGCTATTCTGCAAACAGTCCTCGGACTTTCTCTCATCCCTAGTATCCATGCCATTCTTCCCACTTGGATGGCTTCCCATGTCCTATACACTGATCAAAAATACTGCCTATCCTTAGAGAAACAGAATGGTGCAGTGAGATCTTGGATTGAAGTTCTGGGTCTTCCACTTACTCCCTGTGTGACTTTGGGCAAGTCACTTAAAACTTGCCTCAGTTTCCTCCTCTATAAAATGAGGAAGTCAAACTAGATGGCCTTCAAAGCCCTCCCAGCTTGAAATCTTTGAGCTCCAATCTCATCTTTTCTGTGAAGATTTTCCTGACCACCCTTCCCTTCCCTCAGCCCCCTCAGCCCACCCCAAAGCAGAGATTGAAGGGCCTTTGTAAAGGCTTCAAGTCCCAGCATTATCACTTTGTGGGCCCTGACCCAAGTCAGGTTCTCCATCTGTGCTTCAGTTTCATCATCTATAAAAGGGAAATAATACAGAGACCACCAAACTTAGAGGGTTACTATAAAGGAATTATTAAAAAAAAAAAGTAGAATGATCCATTCACATGAACTACTAAGAGTGAATTAGTGGACACTGAGATTTGCATGTAGGTAAAATCTAAGAGATGAAGGGAGAAAAGACATACTGCAGAGAGAGAGAAGTTGGCCTCCTGAGTCACAGGGCTGAAATCTGTCATCGGGGTTTCTGGGAAGGAGCCCTGGCTCCACGATCATAGGACTGGCGTTTACATTGTGCTTCTGATGCTGACTAACTGTGTACAATTATCCCTTCCACACGACAACTTTGCGCATTGCGGCTTCAGTGGATCACAAGTTGGCATAAGAAATTAAATGGGAATTTGGGGGGAGTTTTGCAGAAGCCACAGATGACACATGAAAGCCAGCAGACAACACAAAAAAGATTTAGAAACTCAGAAATGCATAAAATGTATGTATAGTATTGTATAATATCAACACATTTTATCTTTTAATACCACAATAATTCAGACTTCTTCTCTGGCATGAAAAAAGGGCCAAAAAATGTTGTGGATTTTCCAGCTCATGGGGTCACCATAGCCCTAACCCATGCAATGTGGAAGGGATAACTATAGTAAATTGGGCAGTCAGTTAGTCTCCTTCACTGCTTCCTTCTCATAGCACTAGACTAAATTATTCCTTATATTGTTGGAATTGAGACAGCCCCTGAGGTTCCTTCCAGCTCCTTTGATCCTTAAATATTGTGGTCAATATGGTGATACATTTGGGATCCATGATGGATGCAGCAATTCTGTTTTGGGTAGCTTAGATTCTTGTCATCCCAGAGGGAAGGCTACTGAACAGAAGGGCAGGACACAGCTAAAAGAAGGGCCTGAGTCCTTGGGGATCCTAGAAGATGAACACACAGATGATATGGTTAGAAAGAGAGAAGCAGTTTTCTTATCAAGGAGGAGGAGAGTGGAAGACATAAGGCGAAAATGTTAAATAAAGCTAGAAGTTATGTAATCTAAACTTTCCCTCATTGTACAAGGAAGGCAGCCAAAAGGCTTTTTGTACAAGGTCTCATAGCAAGTTAGTGACAAAGTCAGGACAAAAACCTTGGTCTCTGGGACCTCTAAGGCCTTCCTATGTGTCGTGGAAAGCCAGGGACAGAATTACCATAGAGACCATCCAGCCAGGGAAAAGACTGTTTTAGAAATGCAATCTAATCCTATTAACACTTGTTCTGTATTGATAGCAACTGAACTGAAGAGGAGGAGGCTGTCACCGTGAAGGAAAAGAGGAGACAGGTCTGTGTTTCGTGAACAAGGTTGGTGAACTGTGAGTTTGCGTTGATTGCATTGAAGCAGGATTTAGAGTTGGAAGGACCTTTAGGCAACATCTAAACTAAGCCTTTCAGGGAGGCCCAGGGAGGTAAGTGACTTGGCCAAGGCCGTTTGGTGGGGCAACGAACAGCAGGCCAGGTGAGAGTCAGGAAGACTCATGTTTAAATTCTACCTCAGACACTTACCAGCAGGGTGACCCTGGGCAAGTCACTTAACCTCTATTTGCCTCAGTTTCCTCAACTGTAAAATGGGGACAATAGCAGCATCTGCCTCCCAGGGTTGTTATAAGGACCAGATGAGATGATATTCCTAAAGCGCTTAGCCCAGTGCCTGGTACATAGTAGGCACTTAATAAATCTTTGTTCCGTTCCTCCCCAATGTCACATGTTTGGACTCCAAGTTGATTTCTGTTACACCATACCGCTTTTCTTTATTTTTGTCATTTTGAGGTGATGGGAACACTGTACCTGTTGTAGGCACAAATTAGTTAACTAAGTCATATAGGTGGAGCCCACAATGGGGAGGTTTCCTGATTGGCCGAGAGTAAGCCAGGAGTTGGGAGAATAACCCAATAAGATTGTTCCAAGGCATCCTCAGGGGGTTAAACTGCTCAGTTAATTTGGATTGTGTTCCAAAGAGAAGATGTCATTCCCCACTGGGGCCACAAGGTGGCAAACATGTCACCAAGCAATATAAAGGCCTTGCCCTTGGGGAAAATCAAATGGGGAAAAACAATGCAGTTTAAAATAAGGTTGGAGGGGCAGCTAGGTGGCGCAGTGGATAGAGCACCAACCCTGAAGTTAGGAGGACCTGAGTTCAAATCCGGCCTCAGCTCAAACGCTTGACACGTATTAGCTGTTTGACCCTGGGCAAGTCACTTAACCCCAATTGCCTAAAAAAAAAAGTCTAAAAATGTCTAAAATAAGGTTGGAAAGTTTAGGAGACAGTCTGACCCAGAATGGATACAGTATGTAATGTGATTTCAAGGGGAGTTAGGAAAGTCCTTGTTATATACATATATACATATATGTACACACATACATATATATATATATATATATATATATATACACATAAGTATATATAATGTGTTCTCTTGTTTATGTGTACACAGTCTTACAAATGTATATATTCTTGTTTACGTATATATATATTCTGTATGTATATCTATCTGCATAGATATACTTGTTTCCTTTTCAAAATAAACATTGTAAAATTAATTTGTGTAGTGGGGACTGTATGTATAACTAGGGCTTTCCTGATACTCCTTGAAATCACAATATGTACTATATCCATTTAGAAATAATTCCCCAAGGGGCAGCTGGGTGGCACAGTGGTAGAGCACTGGTCCTGGCATCAGGAGGACCTGAGTTCAAATTCAACTAGCTGTATGACCCTGGACAAGTCACTAAACCCCACTGCCTAGCCAAAAAAACAAAACGAAACAAAACAAAGAAATAATTCCCCAAGGTAAGGTGCAATTAGAAGGGCATATGAGAAAGAGGAGTCTATTCTGAGTCCTCTCCACTCGGTCTGAGGAAGAAAAGACCTGGTACCTGGGCGACTGGCTGTGGCTAATGATGCCTGAGGCATCCTTTTATTATAGAGTATGGTACCCAACTATTCCCTGTTTTTATGGCTGATCAGCAGGGAATCTATGCAGGGGCCAAACCTGGGAACTTGGAACCACTGTGGGGGATGGAAAAAAAGTCTCTTTTCCTCTCATTCCCTACTGAGCTGGCATTAAGTACTATTTAAGAACCGGGGGATGATGTAATTACCCGAGAAGTGACACCAGGGATATTGTAATGAAATTATCTGTTAGGCAACAAGAGATGATTAAAAGTACCAATACTGAAATCTAATATTTGCTCAGATACTAAATTTCTCTAACATTGGTGGCTTTTTTTTTACGTGACCATTTTGGGAACACGTTTTGTTTGACTATGCACATTTTTCATAAGTCAAGTCAACAAGCATTTACTAAACTCTCACTTGGTGCCAGCCACTGGCTGGGAATACAAAGAAAGGCAAATACAATCCCTGTCTAAAGAGCTACACCAGGAAATAACTATGTACAAAGAAGATACATACAGGAAACTTGGAAGGAAGCCCCTAGGATTGAGGGAGACTAGGAAAAGCTTCTTACAGGATTTGGGCTCAAATCTGAAGAAAGCCAGGAATGCTCAGAAACAGAAGTGAGGAGAGAACATTCCAGGCGTGTAGTACAGCCGATGAAAACACATGGAGCCATTTTTTTTCCCAATGGGACTGGAGAGGGGAAAGAGGAGTGATAGAAAATTGATTTTGGGGGCAGCTAGGTTGTGCAGTGGACAGCCCTGGATTCAGGAGGACCTGAGTTCAAATCTGGCCTCAGACACTTGATACTTACTAGCTGTGTGACTCTGGGCGAGTCACTTAACCCCATTGCCTAGCAAAAGAAAATAGATTTTTAATTAAAAAAAAATTTTAAATGCCTTTAATTTAATTGTCATTTTTCTGAGGGGTACATGATGAAGACAAAATCAAAGAGTTACAGAATGATAGAATTGGAAGGAGCCTTTGAGATCCAACCTTCTCATTTTACAAAGTGAAATGACTTGACTTGATCGCACAGCTTACCAGTAGCAAAGTCGTTAAAAATACAGAGCCCTGTACTTAGAAGCAGGCAGCCCTGGAAGCAATAGATGCCTCTGACATTTGCTAGCTCCATGACTACAGGTAAGGCCCTGCAGCTCTTGGAGTCTCTCTTGTCACCTGTAGAATGTCCTCCTTCCAGGCAGGGGCTGTGTCTCACTTTAGTAGTTTTGCCCCCAATGCCAGTAGCCCAGTATTTGGCACATAGTAGATGTCTAATAAAGGTGTGTTAATTGATTGATAAAACAGGAATGATAATATTAATAATAATAATAATACCTGTTAATATGTATCACAGAATTATCAGGAGGACCCTATGAGATCACGTGTGTAGACCTCTTTGCAAACCTTAAAGGGTTAAACAGGTATCAGTCATTACTATTTTAAGACTGAGAAAGGCCAGCCCTAATGAATTCAATTGATGAGTTATTTTCTGTAGCCCCCTACAGATGGGAGAGTTAAAAGATAAGCTTGCAAAGTGAAGAGAAAAGAAAAGCTGAAGGAGTAAGGCTATAGAGATAGCAGAGCGTTCCATAGGGGCCAAATTGGCAGACATCCTCTACAAGCTGCATTTGGGCCAGGTTAGAGAAATCATCTATGATAGGAAAGTCCTGTTGCTGGGGTTGGGAAGGAGGCTTATGCTTCACTCAGCTCATGAGTTTGGAAGTAGAAAGAATAGAGATGATCTGTTTCTGTTCTTGTCATTCCCAAAGAGGAAAAAGTGAAACTGGGAGTTTCTCTGACAATTTAAGAATGTCTCAGAGTGGGAAGGTCCTCAGAGATCACTTAGCCTAATTTATTTTACAAAGAAATTCAGTAATCAAAGGTAAAGTGATTTGATGTTTCCTAGTCCTTCCCCTCTTCAGATATTATCCCATCTATCTGTTCTGTGTCTATCTTGTGCATGGACATAGAGAGCTCACACTCTAATGGGGGAGACTATGCAAAGGACTCCAAGATGATAGACAAATAAGACATACACAGGAGATTGTGGAGGGCATCTCAGAGAGAAGGTAGGAGAATTAAGGGAGACTGGGGGAGGCTTCTTTCTAAAATAACGTAGTTATTTATATATTGTGTCCCTCATTAGAATGTGAACTCCTTAAGGATTTAGAATACGTTTTTGTCTTATTTTCTGCATATCCCCGGTGCTTCACATAATAACTGGCACATAGCAAGAACTTAATAAATGCTTGTTAGCTGACTATCCCAGGTTTCCCTAAATCCCAGCCCAGTGTTCTTATTACAATAATACATAGCCCCACTGATTTGTGAGTTCATAAGACACAAAAGAACTCTGCTCTAAATGTCCTAATCTGGCATAATTTATTCATAGGAAACTAAATGTTAGTGGGTGAAGGAATTAAACTTTCTTTTCAATGTAGAAGCCTTGAACTGCCTAGACAAGGAGAATAATGGAAAAATATAATAGAAGATGAAACGGGGATGAATGTGGGGAAGGAGCAACTATGTGGCTCAGTGGATAGAGCACTGGAATCAGGAAGGCTCATCTTCTTGAGTACAAATCTAGCCTCAGACAATAATTAGCCATGTGACCCTTGGCAAGTCACTTAACCCAGTTTGCCTTAGTTTCCTCATCTGTAAAATGAGCCGGAGGCAGCTAGGTGGCACAGTGGTAGAGCACCAGCCCTGAAGTCAAGAGGACCTGAGTTCAAATAGGACCTCAGACCAAACACTTGACACTAGCTGTGTGACCCTGGGCAGGTCACTTAGCCCCAGTTGCCAAAAAAAAAAAATGAGATGGAGAAAGAAATGGCAAACTACTCTAGTATCTTTGCCAAGAAAACTCCAAAATGGGGTCATGAAGAGTTGGACACAACTGAAAGTGAGAAAGGGGACTCCCCACTCCTGATGTAGTCTGAAAAGAATTTCCAACAAAAATATTTCTAAGCCTGGCATGTAAGCTTGTGTCCATTCTAGACTATAGAGAATATTTTGTTTCTAAGTCCTTTCCCAGTACAGAGAATCAGGGGTGTGTTCCCTGATGGAATTTCCACGACCAATGAAGAACTCTCTGAATATGGTTATCAGAGGCCTCGGGAAATTCACACATTAAGTGAAGGCTACTATTTCTGTGGGCAGTTGGCCAGAAGAGATGGAGAATCAATAGTGTAGGCATAGTGCTTGGAGAAGGTGGAATGTTACAATGAGTAGAAGTTATAGAGAGAAAGATTTTGGCTCAATTTAATGAAAAATGTCCTAACCTTTAAGAACGTCCAAAAGAAGAATAGGCAGCTTAGGGAGGATCCCTCCTTTATAGGAGCTCTTCAAGCAAAGCCGCTTGTAGTGGGGATTCCTTTTCAGGTATGGAATGGAAAAGCATTTGTCAAGTACTTAATATATGCTCCTTTGCCAAGTGTTAGGGATATAAAGGGAAGCAAAAGACTATCTCTCCTTTCAAAAAGCTCACATTCTAATTAGAGAAGATTTACCCATGAGGAAGATTAATACAATTAATTAACTGATACAATAATACAAAAAGTCTGTAGGAGAAAGCAACAGGCCAGATGGTAAGGCCCAAGACTCCCTGGGGACACGAGAGCAGGTCAGATGGTAGTGCCCAGGATCTCAAGGGAATGGTGGCAAGACAGACAATAAGGCCCAGAAGGCTACCATCTTACCAGAAGAATTGTAGATGGCAGATAACTGACTGTTCATCCAAGCAATATAAGCAGCCACCTGTACCTGTCGGGAATGGAACAGGGCTATGGGATACCTCTGCCTGGGGGTAGGATGGAGGGGAGGGCAGTCAGCATCCACCTGGGGGGGCATCTAGCTCCTGGTGAGAACTGGGCAGTGGAGCTAGAGCAAGGGAGGGAAGACCTACCTTCCACCTATTTCTAGTGGGTTCCCAGGAGCCTATCTGCATCCAAAGATGCTGCTGCTTGTGGGCAAGCTTGGGTGGGGAGAGCAAAGTCCCCAACAGACTCCGTTCAGCACTTGGCCCAGCTGAGTTGGACTAGATGGTATAGTGCAAAGAGCACTGGACTTAGAGGCATGAGTGGCCTGGGTTTGAATTATCAAATATCAAATAAGATAATGTCTATAATGTACATTGTAGCCCTTTAAAGCATTATAAATTCTAGATTAGCATGACCTTTGAAGTTTAACTCTTGAGATTCTGTGACTTAGTGACTTAACAGAGATATTGGGAGCTGGTGAAGGTGAGGGGTTGGCTTGCCGAAAAGAAACTCTTGTAGGTAAATCCGGATTGGCTATGGAAACATTTTGCTGTTTAAAATTTTTACTCTTTCATTGTGTCCCAGCATGGTGAAATTTCAGCTGTTCCCAATGCCCAATGGATATTGAAAGGCACCCTAAAAGATAGTAAGGAAGATGAGGCTGCCCGCTTAAGTCAATGTCAAATTGGACCCAAGTTCAGAGGATGTGACAGCAGAAGGGCCAAGAAAAGGCCTTCTCTTTGCACAGATCTGACGTGGGCCTTGACTTTTCTTGTGGGGACTCCTACAGGAAACCCTTTAGAGGCTTCTAAGTTAGAGTCTGTGGGACTTGCCTGTAAAAATGTTTCTCTCTCCTTATTAATTCATCTCTGTGAATCCCTAACAGTAACTGAGGCCAAAAGGTGAGGTACATCCACAAGAAGGAATGCCTGCCACCTCCAGAAAGGTGAGCACAGGATGCCCTGCTGGGACCTGCCCGGTGGACCGCGCTAATCAGGTCAGCAAGCATTATTTAGTGTTTCTTGTGTGTCAAGCTCCGTGTTAAGCCCTGAGGATACAAAGAAAGATGAAAAACAATTGCTGCCCTCAAGGAGCTCATATCCTAATTGGGGAAACAACGTGTAAACAGCTATGTACAGGATAGATAGGGGGCAAAATAAGAAGGCACCAGCATTAAAGGAGACCAGAAAAGGATTCTTGCAGAAGGTGGGATTTTAGCTGAGGCTTGAAGGAAGCCAGAGAAGCCAGGAGGGGGAGATGAAGAGGGAGGGAATTCCAAGCATGGGGGGTAGCCAAGGAAAGGCTGCCAGGAGATGGAGTGTCCCATGAGAGTAAAAAGTGAGGAGGCCAGCCAGCATCACTGGTTGTAGTGTATGTGTAGGGAAAAGTGTAAGAAAATTGGAAAGAAGGGGAGGGACCAGATTATGAAAGCTATTCAAAAGCCAAACAGAATTTTAGATTTGATCCTGGAGGCAGTAAGAAGTCAGTGGAGTTTGTTGAATATGGGAGTGACGTAGTCTGATTTTCACTTTAGGAAAGTCACTTTGATAGCTGAAGAAAGAGAGATCGGAATGGGCAGAGACAAGGCAGGAAAGCCAACCAGAAGGCTATTGCAGTAGTCTAGGTACAGAAGTCTCTAGCCAGGCTGCAGCAAGGCAGGAGGGGGCAGGAATGCAGAGGATGGGCTGATCCCTAGGCCTCCATCCTCAAGAATAAACAATGAGGGAGCCCACAGCTTCCAGAGTGGACTGAGATGTTCATGATTTTCTCTAACTTCTTATTGGATTTTTCTCTAACTTTCAGTCCTCAAGAGGAAAAGAAACCAGCAAAGTAGGAGGAGGAAGCAGCAATCTAAGGAGGAGAAAACCTTCCAGAAATGGCCCTAGGTGAAGACAGGCAAGTTGAGAGTGCTTCAGTGTTGGCATCTGGCACTAGGAAGATGGGGGCCGAAAAGCACCACCAAGTTAGGTGCAATCTTATAGAAGCCTATGGACAGAATAGAAGGATGTTCAAATGAGGCAGCAAGAGTGCCAAGCCCCAGACATCCTAGAAGTGATACCCTTTGTCCTCTAAGTTTGTTTTGAAAATAAATTTCATGTCATATTGCTACATTCCGGTGTTCCTTGGGGCAATCTGAAGAAGACTATAGCTTATTATAGCAGAATGGAATCCTTAGACAACTTGCTGGCGTGGTCTGCTGGATAAGGTGGTGGACTTAAAATCAAGAAGACCTGGCATGAATCACACCTCAGACACCTTTTTTTTTTTAAACCTTAGACAAGACACTGAACTTCCCCATGTCTCAGTTTCCTCATCTGCAAAATAAGGGGGTTGTATCTTTTGAGGTCCCTTCTAACTCTAAATCTATGAGTTATGAAATTAAGAGATTAATGAAAAAAAGTGAGAAGGAAAGGGGCTTAATAATGGCAGATCTCAGACTATACTAAGTGGTAATCATCAAAAGACTTCAGTGCTAGTTATGAAGTAGGGAGTTTGATCAGTGTAACAGATTAGGTAAACAGTAGATGAAAGCAATAGGAGCAAATGGGCCTAATGTTTGATAAACCCAAAGATCCAAACTATTGGGGCAAGAACTCACCATTCAACAAAAACTTTTCAGAAAACTGGGAAGCAATCTGGCAGAAACTAAATATAAACCAACATCCCACCATATACCAGATGAACTCCAAGTGAGTACACGACTTGGGTATAAAGGGTGGCATCATAAAGGTAGAGGAGCAAGAAAGAAATTTAAAAGTTTTTGCTCAAACAAAACCATTGTAGTTAAAATTGGAAGAGAAGCAGGTAAGTGGGGAAAATATTTGCAGCAAGTTTCTTTGACAAAGGTCTCATTTCTAAAATTTGTAGGAAACTGATTCAAATTTATGAGATTAAGAATCTTTTCCCAGGTTGATAAATGGTCAAAAGATATGAATAGGCAGTTTTCAGAGAAGGAAATCTATCAATAGCCATATGGAGGGGGCGGGGGAAAGCCCTCAATCACTAATAACTAAAGAAATGCAAATTAAAACAACTCTGAGATTCTACTTCAAACCCATCAGACTGGTGAAGTTGGAAAAAATAGAAAATGACAAATACTGAAGGCACTGTGGGAAAACAAGTATGCTAATGGAGCAATGAACTGATCCAGCCATTCTAAAAAGTAATTTGGAACTCTCCCCAAAAAGCTATTTTTTAAAAAATACTCTTTGACGTAGGAATTCTACTACTAGGTCTGTACCCTAAAGAGATCAGAGAAATGGGAAAGGATCCATATGTACAAACATAATCATAGCAGCTCTTTTGTGGTCGCAAAGAATTGAAAATCAAGGGTGCTCATCATTCAAGAAATGGCTGAGGGGGCAGCTAAGTGGTGCAGTGGATAGAGTACCAGCCCTGAAGTCAGGAAGACCTGAGTTCAAATCTGACCACTTGATACTTACTAGCTGTGTGACCATGGGCAAGTCACTTAACCCCAATTACCTGAAAAAAGAAAAGAAAAGAAATGGAAAGAAATGGCTGAATAAGTTATGGTATATGAATTTGGTGGAATACTGTTGTTCCATAAGAAATGAGGAAGTGGATGGTTTCAGGAAAAGCCTGGGAAGACATGTATAAACTGATGCAGAGAGAAGTGAGCAGAACCAGGAGCACAATTTATACAGTAACCACAGTATTATAAAAAGAAAGAAACTTTTAAAGACTTGGGAACTCTGATGAACACAATAATCAACCTCTACTCCAGGGGATTCATGGTGAAACATGATGCCTACCTCCTGATAAAGAAGTGATGGACTCAGTGCAGATTGAGGCATGTTTTTTAAATATGGTCAACACAAGGATTTGTTGTGCTTGACTATACCTATTTACAATGAGAGTTTTTTTTTTCTTCAGTATTTTTTTTGGGTCTCCTTTAGCAAGCTGTTGACTTGTTTTTCATGATTTTCTTGCATCACTCTCATTTCTCTTCCCAGTTTTTCCTCTACTTCCCTTACTTGCTTCTCAAAATCCCTTTTGAGCTTTTTTCTTGCTTTCCCAGTGAGGTAGATGGATAGGGCAATGGGAAGTAGGAGTTGTGAGAGTGAGAGAAAATGGCTCTTTGTTTGAAAATAAATTGAAATTTAATTTTTTAAAAGCGATGAGCTATTTGCCCCAAAGCTAAAATTTTGATTTCTCATCAGAACAATGATTTATCTTCATTCTCAGCAGCAGGATAGGAGAGAGGAGAGGTCAGAAGAGAAAAAAGAGCTCATCAGAGAAAGAAGAAAGTGTCTGAGCTGCTCACAGTGAAGAGACAACTAAATACTGCTGTTTGTCCATAATGGAGTTTTGGGGGAAAAAAATGTTCCTCACTCATGGACAGGAAAGATCTCAGTGATGAAGAGAGTGTCTCCCCAGTAAGACTGAAGGTCTCTGGAAGGGAGGAACCAGCGTCCTGTACCCTTTTGTGTACTGCCTCATCCACCCTCATCTTGAAAAAACATACCCTTAGATTGTTCTCAACAAATTTATTTTGATTGGATTTGACTTGGGAGGAATAAAAATTAAATATATATGTTGGCAGGCAACAAAGACATTTCAGCACTATTCACTGAGATTTGTTCTTTACCTTCTAACACTTAAAGACTTCGTAAGATGATAGAACCATATGAACCTGAGAGGTCATGTAGGCCAGCTCTTCTTCCCAATTCCTGAGACCTCTTGACAACATCCCTGGCAGATAAGGCCTGGGCTTCTGCTTGAGCACTCCTGGTGAAAAGAAACTGACTTTTGTGGGATCCCACAATGTCCCACGTCGGACGTCTCAGCAATAGCTGATGAGCTCCAACAGAGAGAATGACTTTGCAAGTGTTTCTCTGCCTTAACCGTGAGACCCTTCCTCAGAACCATCCTGATTCATTCTTTGCCTCTCAGTTCATCTTTATTGTCTTGACTTCATTGTCTTGAATAGTGACCCCAACCCTTTTGAAGCAGGAAGAAGCTAAGTGTTTAGTTGGTGTTTTTCATTGCCTCGAGGTTTTAAATCTCTTAGTCAATAACATAAGTGGGTCCTGTCAGCATGCTATTATCAGTCACACTTTCAGGCAGATAGCCTGAACGTTATTACCCAACTTTCATCAATGTGGCTCAAGGGGAAATGCAATAAGTCTTAATGCTACTTTTCCCTGTTAAAAGGTAATGGTGAATCTGCTTACTCATTCCAAGCCTCAAGAAAGCCTAAATTGATCATTGAACAGAAGCTACCAAACCCCCCTTTACAGATGAGGAAACTATAATCCAGAAAGGGGAAAGATGTAATAGTGTCAGAGCTCTGAAGCAAGTAAATTACAAATTCCTTGAGTATGGGCCCTGGATCTCACATCTCTTCTTTTTGCGGTGTCTTATTTAGCCATTTCAGTCGCATCTGACTCTTTGTGATCCCGGGGGGGGGGGTTCTTGTCAAAGACATTAGAATGGTTTGCCATTTCTTTCTCTAATTCATTTTGCAGATGAAGAACTGAGGCAAATAGATTTAAGTAACTTGCCCAGGATCGCATAGCTAGTAAGTGTCTGAGGTCAGATTTGAGCTCATGAAAATGAGCCTTCCTGATTCTAAGCCCAGTGCTCTATTCACCTAAGTAGTAGCCATCTTGGTTGGTCTGAATGCTCTCTAGCTTCTCAATGTCCTTTCTCAAATTTACTCAGAACTAAAAAATCTAATCCAGATGTGATCTGACCAAGGCAGAAGAGAGCAAGATTAGCTTCTCCATAATTGCTAAAATCTAGATATGCTGTCTACAGAATTGCCTTGAACAATAGCCTAAATACAATAAAGGCTGTATAAGTGGAAAGAAAAAATGGCTTAAAGCAATTTGTAGTGATAGGATCAACACATTTAGTCTGATTGGATACAGGGATTGAGAGAGAGGGAATCTTCTAGGATGACACCAGTCTGTGCTAACCTCCATTGGGTAAAGGAATTTCTTATCTAGAAGTTCTGCATCCCAACTAAATCACAAGGCTAGTTACTATCCATATGTTACATTTTAAATATTACATTTAATATTATATTTAATGTGAATGTGGGTAAAAGACAGGATAGTGGTCATGTCAACAGAAGTAGGGAAAGTTTTGAGGAAGGTTGAGTTTGGGGAGAAAGGTAATGATTAAAGGTACTGAGGATTTGAACCTAAGCCCTCCAACTCCAAATCCAGAACTCATCCCACTACCTCACTATACCTCCCATCTAACAGATGCAGGGAGTGGAGCAGCTATGGTCCAGGAGGGCCATGACCCTGGCTTAATGGTCTAATAGAAGTCTCTGCAATTGTGGAAACAAACTAAGAGGACAGGCCTCAATAAGAGATGGCCAAGACCATGAATATTTCCAGGCTATTGTACATAGTAAATGTCCCATTTGTTTGAAGGTGCTTGACATGGTTTTTTTATGTGTGTGCTGGTTTTTGGCCTTTTGGGTTGAGGGACAGTAAAATCAGGATCTGTGATTTCAGCAGGGGGGGTACGGGGAAGAATTCTAGATCCACCTGTATTAAATAATTAGATGGAGATTCAGAGCAAGTAAATGTCAGAGGCAAGATTTAAACCCAGGTCTTCTTGACTTTGAGGCTATCATTCCACCCATCTTTATCACTTTGCCCCCCATCTTGCCCCTCCCTGAGGTTTGTTAGAAATGATCCAAGTAGCAAATGTTATTTAAGCATCTAAAGGAGGACAAAGCACACCATATAGAATGGGTACTTCTACTGACTTCACAAAAGAAACATACTTTCTAAAGAAAGAGGACAATCTAAAGATACTCTTTTGAATCCAGTATTATCACCCTGACTAATGAAATTAATGGTGGGAAACCAGCCATCAGGTCACACGTTTTTTCTGATCACAGAGACAACAGGAAGCTGTCAACTCGGGTTTCCAGGGTGGACAAGGTCATACCATATGATAATGAGCACATGCCTTCGATTGCTTCAAGGATCTGTGATGATGCTGGAATGTGGGTGTTCCTTCCACCCTAGTGGGTCATAGCCCTTCTTTGACTAAGCAAATGTTTTTTGAGA